CTCATCATTATCATCATCACTCACTCACCCATCATCATCACTCACTCATCACTTCGTCATCACTCACTCGTCTGTGAGTGAATTGTGAGGAAGCCTCAGGCGGAAGCCCCCTCCCTATGGGTCCCGCACTTGATGTTGGTAATCCGAGCGGGTCATCGGCAACCTGTAACTGTCGTCACTTTTGGGTTTACCAGGCTTGAATTTGGAGGAAGTATCAAGCGGGAGCCCCGTGTGTGAGTGAATTGTGAGGAAGTCTCAGGCGGGAGCCCCCCTCTCTTTGGGTCCCGCACTTCATGTTGGTCATCCGAGCGGGTCATCGGCAACCTGTCCCTGTCGTCACGTTTGGGGTTCTGAGGCTTGAATTTGGAGGGAGTATCAAGCGGGAGCTTCGTCTGTGAGTGAATTGGAAGGAAGTCTCAGGCGGAAGCCCCCCTCCTTGTGGGTCCCGCATTTGATGTTGGTAATCCGAGCGGGTCATCGGCAACGTGTAACTGTCGCCACCTTTGGGCTCTTCAGGCCTGAATGTGGAGGAAGTATCAAGCGGGAGCCTCGTGTGTGAGTGAATTGTGAGGAAGTCTCAGGCGGGAGCCCTCTCCCTATGGGTCCCGCGCTTCATGTTGGTAATCCGAGCGGGTCATCGGCAATTTGTAATTGTCGCCACTCTTGAGGTTCCCAGGCCTGAATTTGGAGGAAGTATCAAGCGGGAGCCTCGTCTGTGAGTGAAGTGGAAGGAAGTCTCAGGCGGGAGCCCCCTCCCTATGGGTCCCGCATTTCGTGTTAGTAATCCGGGTGGGTCATCGGCAACATGTAACCGTCGCCATTTTTGGGCTCCTCAGGCTTGAGTGTGGAGGAATTATCAAGCGAGAGCCTTGTGTGTGAGTGAATTGTGAGGAAGCCTCAGGCGGAAGCCCTCTCCGTATGGGTCCCGCACTTGATGTTGGTAATCCGAGCGGGTCATCGGCAACCTGTAACTGTCGTCACTTTTGGGTTTACCAGGCTTGAATTTGGAGGAAGTAACAAGCGGGAGCCTGTGAGTGAATTGTAAGGAAGTCTCAGGCGGGAGCCCCCTCCCTATGGGTCTCGCACTTCATGTTGGTAATCCGAGCGGGTCGTCGGCAACCTGTAATTATTCCGACGGAAGGACCCACACGATAATCTGTTTAGTTTGCCCTTGCCCTTTTCTTCCTCGCCCTGACGGACACTCTCCTCTCGCCCGCCGTTCTGCCCTCACCTACTCCCCTTCCTATTTCTCCTCCTGCCCCTCCTCCTCCTCCTCCATTTCCTCCTCGTCCTCACCCCCTCCCTACCCCTTCCCCGTCCTCGTCCTTCCCCAGCTTCTTCTCCGCGCGCTCCTCCCCTTCACCCTGGTCGGGGCAAGCGAGTTCGACAAGAGAGCGGAGACACCCAGGGATGAGGCCGAACAGCTCGCCGCAGAGCTTGGGTTCATGCTGCCTCCCGCCTGAGCGCGGATGCGCCCCGCTCGAAGCCCGCGGGGTTGTCCCAACGGCTTGGCCCGCGGGGCTGTCCCGACCGCCTGCCCCCGCGCCCCAGCGGCCCGCGGGGTTGTCCCAAAGGCTTCGCGAACCAGCCGTTGGGGACTGCGCGCGCTCTGGCCGAGGCGGCGACGGCGCCGAGGAAAATCGATGTGCTCGCCCCGACCAGGGGGAAGGGGAGGAACGCGCGGAGAAGAAGCAGGGGAAGGATGAGGACGGGGAAGGGGTAGGGAAGGGTAATGATGATGATGAAGTGGAAAGTGAGGAGGAGGAGGAGGCATAGAAGAAGAAATCTCATGATGGGGAGTAGGAGAAGGCAGATCGGCGGGCGAGAGGAGAGCGTCCACCAGGGCGAGGAGGAGAGGGGTGACTGCAAGCTAAACGGATTATCATGTGGGGTCCTTCCGTCGGAGTAATTGTTATTAGAACAGCGTTGGGTTCTAAGAACCTTGCGTGGTAGGACTACAGGAATGCTGGGACGGTCGGCCCCTGCTCTATTTTCGCCGGAATGAGAGCGGGTAGGAGAAAACCGGAGTGATCCTCGTCCCCCCTCCTCTGCCCCAACCTGCGCGATCTATCACCTCAGATGGGGTGTGGGCGTAACGGTTTGGGCGTTCCGACCGCTGCTCAGCCCAAGTGGGTGGCTCTGGAGAAGGTGAGGGTGGTCCCAGGCAGTTCGCCCTGGCGGAGCTTGCGGAGCTCACTGCTGACCCGAGGGGGGGACTGGTGGGCTTGTGGCGCAAAGGGGGACTGGTGGATTTTTATGTGTGGTTTTGTTCCTCCTCCTCCTCTTCCGCCTCTTCCTCCTCCTTCTCCTCCTCATCCTCATCCTCCTCCTTCTCCCCCTCTTCCCTCTCCTCCTCCTCCTCCTCTTCCTCCTCCTCCTCCTTTTCCTCCTCCTCCTCCTCCTCCTCCCTCTCCTCCTCCTCTTCCGACTGGTGCAAGAAAGCCCCTCACATTCTGACGCTTGCGGTGGCCTTCACCAAGCCAAGGCCGCTGGAGCTCGGCGCCCCTCCCCACGCCGTAGCCTTCGCAGAGAATGCAGTAGGTAATTGGCAGGCTGCTCCCATCAAGCCATCTCATATCGAGGGAATTGTGTCAGGAGGGGAACATATGGAAACATATGGGAAGTGGGGGGAAGGCAAAAACCCAGAAGATGTGGGAAACTACGGGGAATCAGGTCATTTGTGTTTATATATTTGTGTGTCCCAGGGCCCCTTCATTGTGAAGGGCTCTGCGCTGATTGATTGCGTCTGTGAGGGCCTGAGGATATTCTTGCGAGCGCTGCCGCCTGCATCGAGGGGCGATGCGTTTTAGACACGTGGTGCAGCGATAACCCTTACCTGTCCAGGTGGAGGTTTGGGAGGAGACAAGGGGCGGGGATGAGGTGGGGGCACCCTGGACAGGGGGCCAAAGTACTCACGCGCAGGAGGCTAGCTAGCGAGCACCCTCCCAGCACCAATCACGAGCTCCAGAGACTCTTCAAGAGGAGTCGTCGTGTCCGAGCGGGTAATGGGATCCAGGTCATGCTTGCCCGCCGCCTCTTTGGCTAGAGTGTCGGCCACTCTGTTGCCGAGGATACGAACACGGTCCTGTTGAGAGACGGCGTCGTCAGGGCTACGATTAGCTTAACATGGGATAAAGAAATCCAGGGCCCTGGCGTGGCATGGGCCAGTACCCTCCATTAGTGGCTGAAAAGGGTGGCACCTTTTAGGTTAGAGGCCGGCTGTGTGATCCTTCTGATAGGGCCATGCAATCCACAGCAAATTCTGGAGACTGCGCCAGATCAGAGTGCAGCCCGGCCATGACAAGCCCAGAGTGCTCGCAATGGACAGCATGCTGGGGCAGAATCCGCGGCTGTGGAGAAAAAATAGCGCGCAGGAGGTTACCATAGTCATCATCAATCTGGCATGCCGCCAGCCATTCTGTCTCCAGCATCTCCACCTCGGGGTTGAGGCACGAACCGTCAACAAATGTGGGTCGACTGGGATCGAATTGAAACTTGTCGCAAGGCCCCTGACCATCTCTGCAGACGAACGCCCAATCTACCACTGGGGGGTCGACATCAGGGGCAGCAAGCCACAGATGCGCATAGAGCGGGTGGGTCTGGCCTGCATCAACTCCTCTTCTTATCCCCCTCCTCTTCTCCTCCTCCTCCTACTTTCTCTTCTCTTCCTGCTCCTCCTCCTCCTCGTCCTCCTCCTCCTCCTCAGTGGGTCCTCGGCCGGGGAGGTGCACCACCGAGTGGCAGCCGCCTCCTCCCGCTGGCGGCATTCTCTCACGTTCCGAAGCGGGGTCTCCCCAGATGGGGCCGATCTTTTCCCGCAGAAGACAGACTGGGAGGGAGCTTGCCCCAGGCAGCTCCTGTGCCTTGAGCTCTTGGGCCTGCATCCATATTTCACCAGAGAAAACCCACTCGGTAGATGTTTGACTGTTTCGCAGGTGCCCGAATCTGAACATATGTTCTAGTCCAGTCTAGTGTTTGTAGGTTTCTCTCTCTCTCTCTCTTTTGTTTCTCTCTCTCTCTCTCGCTTTCTCTTTCTCTCAATTTCTCTCGCTCTCTCTCTCTCTCTCTCTTTCTCTCGCTCTCTCTCTCTCTCTCTCTCCCTCTCTCTATGTGTGTATATGAATATCTATGGGTCTAACACCCTATGCCTTCCTGTGCATACACACTCTTATATACATGTGTATATATATATATATAGATGTATCTAGATATGCATCTCGGAGTAGGCCGCGAGCGGGCCCAGAACCGCGGCCACGGGTACAGATGGAACAACCCGGGACCGCCGCAGATGATTCTTGAACGGCCTCCGAAGGCTTCCAGGCTGCGCCAGGACGGCCCCGTGCAGGCTTCAGTGGGCGCCCGAGGCCCCTGACGAGTGCCCCGAGAGGCACAAATCGTTGCTTTCCCCAGGGCTCTTCCATGTTTTCGGGGTCCTCTGCTTGTCGAGTTCCGGACAGTTCACGACGGCCTGAGAGGCCTCAACTTTTTGGTCGCCTTGGCTCCGCGCAAGCAGACCCCGACCCAGAACACATTCAGGGAATGCGGGGCGAACTCTGCGCGCCACAGGTATGTTTTAACACACAAGCCCTCAAGCATGTCAACTCCAACGGCCAGGCAGAAATCGGGTGCGTGCGCTTTGGGGGCTGTTCGGGGATGTTGGCGGGTAGTGCCGCAGGCAATTGCATGATCCGCCAGGTTGTGTTCGGCACAGCTCAATGCCACATCTAAGTCGGACTTTGTGCCCGCCCGCCCTCTACCGCCCCCCCCCCTCCCACTTGTTTGCCTCTTACCCCGCCTCCGCTTTCCCTCCGCCCCCCCCCCCTCCCCCTCCCCCTCCTCGCTCCTCCCCCCCGCCCGGCAGTCCGAGGGATTCAACCCCGCACTGACGACGCCGATGTCCAACATGGTCTTCGTCGTAAGACAGCATCCCTCGCCCATCCTTTTTGAACTCGGGCTTCCCCGTGGCACCCGCCAACATCAACGCAAGTTCACGCCTCCGGCCACTCATGACCATGCCCATACGGGGCAACGCAGCGATTTCAGACATCTCGCCGATTCGGGTTTCCCCCGTGGGCGCAGACAGAAATTTCGAAATCGGCCCCAGTTCGAGCAAGGACTTGTCCGGCAAGAAATCTAGGTGTTGCTTCTGCGCTCCGACATGAGACAGGCTCGCCGAGGTAGGCTCTGAAGCACCGTCTCGCCGCTGCAAGTGGATCCGGACGCTCGCAAGTGCCGGCAAGGAAAGGTTGTGCGTGTCATGCGCTTGCTTGAACGTTGTCATGGAGTCGAGCTTCGAGGGAGCCAAAGCAGGTTTTTCGCGCACTGCGAACGTCGCGCCCCCTGTCGCGTCCATGACGCGCACGTTTTGGGGCCAAACTCGTTTGCAGTCGTTCGTCCGAAAGCTCTTCCAAACACCTGGAACGGCAACGCGGCAACGGTTGATCTTGAGCACCACGTCGGTGCCTTCCGGTTCCTCTTGCTGGCCCGCGGCGATGGGTGCGCTGATCAGTGCAGACGCCACGCTGCACACAGTGTGGTCTGTTGGCTCCCCCGCAGAATCTCCGGCAGATGCCGGGGTCCATTCCTTGAATGATGGAGGCCGTCGCGGTCCCGAGGGGCTCCGCGGCTCGAGCCTGCGAGCGGGCCAAGCTGCCGTGGTCGCCCGTGGCGGGCTCCCAGAGGCAGCCCCTGGCCTCTCCCGGAGTGGCGAAGCGGCATCTCCTGTCCGCCTGGGGAGCGCACGGCCGCGACGCAGATGGCCAGCAGTGTGCCGGGGGCGACGTGCGTCGGCAGATGGCTCAGCGGGTCGTTCCCCGCAGGGAGGAAGCTTGGGAGAAGACGGAGAGTGTGGCAGCAGCCTGTTCGTCCTTTTCTGGCTCTCTGGATCCGTCGGCAGTGGTGATGTCCACGATCTGTCTGCGGCCATACACGGACGTCTCGTTCTGTGCGCTACCTATTTTTGTAATTGACGCGACGACGCTCGCCCTGTTGGCAAATGGGGGAGGTTCACCACGATGACAGGATCATCCTCTAGCTTCAGCGTTGGAGGCATGTGCGACAGTCCCTGGACGGCTGGGGAAGATTTCGTTTTTCGAGTGTCAGCAGACCTTGCGAGGGGCACTGATGTATTCTTTCTCCTCGCTTGCGAGCATGAGTTTGGTCATTTTCCAGACGGTACCGTTTCTACCGTTTCTGGATGTTTCGGCCATCTTCTTCAATTCGGCGCCAGGGTCTTGTCCACTGGCCTTATTTGGAAGTGGTTCGATCAAGTCTTCGCAATAGTTTCCATCACTTGCCACAAGCACGCACGTGTATGTTTGTCCTTTTTGTGGTTTCCCTTGCCATTGGTATTCGTACTCGATGTGTTGCATGGCGTGGATCTAGACGATCCATGGTCCTATTCCCGCCAGTGTTTTGTTGAGTTCAGGCAGACTCAGCGATTCCTCAGCCATGGGCCGTGAAAGGCCGTGCGCGATATTGGGCTGTGGCACGTCAGTGGTGGATAAGCCGTTCGGCTGGGCGCAGCAAGCCTTTTCGCATTGGGATTTGAACCCAAGAAAGCGCAGGCCGTTACAGCTGACAACACAAACAACGGCGGAGTGCACATGAACGAGGGGTGTGAAGCCAAAACTGGCCGCGGTTTCATTGGAGCTGGTGTCCGTCGCGGCCGTGCCGCTCAGCGATATCGTGCCTCCTAATTCTCTTCCCCAGATTCCTCCTCCTTCTCCTCGTCATGTTCCTTCTCTTACTCTTCTACCTCCTCGTCCTCCTCCTCCCCCTCCTCGAAATCTTTCTCCTCGTTATCATCGTCCTCTTCCTCGCCTTCTTCCCGCAATCCCAGTCTTTCCTCGATATCAAAGTATACCTTATCCTCCTTTCCCTGCTCCTCTTCATCCCCCTTCACCCTCTCCGTCCCACTACGCTCCCTTTCTGGTCCCTCTGTTTCTGTATTGCGGTTTCTTCCCAACCTCTGCCGTTTCCGTCCCTGCGCCCCGCCAGACGTCCAACTGTCGCCTAAATTTGCTTTCAGTGGATCTATCGGCATTGATCCATGCCCTGTGCTGTAGGCCAGCTGCAGAAAACCACAATCTCGGGCAGATTCCTCCGAACGCCACGCCATGATTTGAACAACCAGCAAGAGATACACGCAGACAACGCATCAGACCCCTGGTCATTTCTCTGAAAACGCAGGCACGCGCTCTTTTTATGCCGACGTTGGGTGGACATTTGTGTGCAAATGCAGGGGCGGGCATTGATGCGCGAACGCTGGGGGCCAGCCACTTTTATGCAAATAGTGGGGTGGACACTCTTGTGCAAGCGGCGGGGTGGACACTGTGATGCACGCGCTGGGGTGGGCATGTTCATGCCAGCGCTGGGGTGGGCACTTTTATGCAAACGCTGGGGCGGACACTTTGATGCAAAAGGTGGGATGGTCCCTTTCTCGCGAATTTTGGGGTGGGCCAGAAGAGTGCTCACCCCAGCGCTTGAATAAAAGAGCGCATACAGCAGTGGCGAGCGGGCGGGCCCGAAGGCCCCCCCGTCCCCGAGTCCTTTAGTCTTGTTTGGCGGCGCGCTCCGCCCGAGATTTCCTCGCAGCACCAACGGCAGCGGCAACGCCAGCAGCAGGCAACAGCAGCAGCACCAGCAGCAGCACCAGCAGCAGCAGCAGCAGCACCACCACGAACACCGTCGACAGCCTCAGCAGCAGAACCAGCAGCGGCACCAGCAGCGGCAGCAGCACCGGCAGCATGAACACCAGCACCAGCAGCACCAGCACCAGCAATAACAGTAGCAGGAGCAGCAACAGCACCAGCAGCAGCACCACCAATACCGGCAGCACTACCGGCAGCACCACCAGCAGCGCCAGCAACACCAGCTGCACTGGCAGCGGCACCAACAGCAACAGCAAAACCAGCAGCACCAGCAACAGCAGCAGCAGCACTAGCGGCACCACCAGCGCCAACAGAAGTACCAGCACCATCAGCAGCACCACCACCACGAGCACCACCAGCAGCACCAGCCCACTATTTCGTACCATTGCGCTTCGTTGTGGCGAGCGATTTTTCAAACGCCTTGCGCTCGGCGACAGGATCGCGCTGCCCAACGATCATTCACGCAATTATTTTTGTTATTCGGCATGGGCGCACGCCGCGGCGCTGGTGTCGAGAACCTGCCCGAACTTGTAGGGTGCACAGTGGACGGGGCATTCGCCAGAGCAATCGCCGCAGAAGCCGCCAGCTGCGCCAGCTATAACGACATCTCAGGACAGCAAGCGCCGATGCACATCCGTGGGCACTTCGGCGCCGATGCGTTGTCCAGGGTGGAAGCCAACATCTGCCGAACCTCATCGGTTGGTGGGCGATGGGCCATGGGCTCCTCGCTCCGTCCGCCTGAAGACAGCGAAAGACCACGAAGGCCCGATAAGTGCCCGTGAAGCGAAGAAGACTTCGTGGGCTGGGGGCGCTCGCAGGAAAGGCCTCCTGTGACCGAAGCGCCAGCGGACACGGCGGGAGCCACCTCGATCGTGCGTCCGGGCCCATTCCATGCTCGCAGGCGCGGTTGGCCGCGTCCACCCTGGCCTGCAGCGCGCGGCGCACAAATTCACCCAGCGGAGTCCGCTGGCGGGCGTCCAAGGTCTCGCGTGGCCTGCGCGTCAGGCGGTTGGCCTCACGGAGCTCCAGCCGCGCCGGCAGTCTCAACTACCTGGACCTGGCGAGGAACGGCATCCGAGACGCGGGAGCGACCGCGCTGGCCGCCGCCCTGGGAGGCAACTGCGCGCTGCGCGAGCTGCACCTGGCCCAGAACAGGATCCGCGGCCCGGGAGGCCCTTGCCCTCGGGAGGATGCTCGGCGCGAGCACTGGGCTGCGGCAGCTGACGACGGCGTGGACTTCGCTCGGGCGGTCGGCCTGGCCCTCCCCGGCAGCGCGTCCCTCTGGATCCTGAGCCTTCGCCGGTGCGGCATCGGCTCCGAAGGGGCCAGGCTGCGTGCGCAAGGCCTGAGCGCCCAGCGCGTCGGACTGACGGAGCTGTCCGTCGGGTTGAACAGGTTCAGGGACAATGGCGCTGCGGAGATCGCCAAGATGCTGACCGTGAGCCGCTCCATACGGGAGCTCTACGTGGACGATAACCGCATCGGAAGATCCGGCGGGGCGTTCATTGGCGAGGCGCTGATGGGGAACTACTGCTTACAGACACTATGGATGGTAGAAAACAAACTGCGCCAATGCGGCGAACAAGTTCATATAGACCATCAAGACAAATTCTACGCTGAGGCGCCTTGGCCTCACAGTCGACGCATCCATCGGCAAAGCTCTTCGCCAGGCCATGGACAGAGCGACTCCGATGCCGAAGCGGGGGGTCCAGCGGGTGAAACGCTGCCGCCGCTGCCTTCGGACTCGAAGTCAGATAAGTGGACTGCCGACAACTTCATCGCTCTTCCCAGCGCCGTACCTAACGCATGTCAAGACTCACGCGGCGTCCCTCAGCGGCACAGCAACGACAGCGGCACTGGTAGCGAAGCGGACTCGCCATTCGACACGGAGGAGTTCGATGGCCAGCAGGGTGTCGCCGAAGCGCGTGGCGTGCCCAGGACGTCTCGCGCCAGCAGGCAGGGCGTGCCGAGGCAAATCATGACGGAGCAGGAGGCGGTGCATCAGATGATGTTCTCGACGTTGAGACGCTGCCGCCGCTGCCTTCGGACTCGAAGTCAGATGAGTGGACTGCCGACAACATCATCGCTCTTCCCAGCGCCGAACCTAACGCATGTCAAGACTCACGCGGCATCTCTCAGCGGCACAGCCACGACAGCGGCACTGGTAGCGAAGCCTTCTCACCGTTTAACACGGAGGATTTCGATGACCAGCAGGCCTTCATGATCCTTGACGCTCTCGACGTTGAGGAGAGCTCATGGGGATGACAAACCTTTACAGCACGTCCGTGGTGGCGGACATCGCTGCGCTGACGGAGTTGCCAGACGGCGAGGCAAGCAGCTGATGGTGTCCCAGACTCGCTCCCGCCCACCGCGTTGAACGTGGTTGCCCTTTGGCATTTTTTGGCTCGTCCGACCTGCAGGCGGGCGGAGATTGTGGGATCGTCAAAAGTGCCAGAGGGTCAAGAAGTGGGAGGAGGAGGAGGAGGAGGAGGAGGAGGAGGAGGAAGAGGAGGCGGAGGAGGAGGCTGATGATGATGATGATGATGATGATGATGATGATGATGATGATGATGATGATGATGATGATGATGATGATGATGAGGATGAGGATGAGGATGAGGAGGAGGAGGAGGAGGAGGAGGTTCTCGTGGGATGTTTTGGAGCGCTCTTGGAAGCCTCTTGGGGCGGTCTTGAGGGCCACTTCGGCGGCAAAGGCGAGAACGCCCAAGTCTGTCAAAAACCCAGGGACAATCCATGACTTTTGCCTTCTGTGGCCCTCTCGGGAGTGCCTTTGGATCAAGGGCATAAAAAACGCCCCTACCCTGGTTTACGAGGCGCTGTGCGCTGAAACTCTTGTGGGCTGACAGGGTAAGCCCTGCGTGATGTGCCGCGTCCTGGCGGCTCTAGGCTGCGGGGGTTCCCAGGAGGTTTACAGACCACGCACTTGTAACCCAGGGTAGGGTCGTTTTTTCATCCCTCAATTGGAGGCCTCTTGGGACTCTTGGAGGAATCCTGGGCAGTCTGGGAGCGCGAAGGCGTTTGGACTGATCGTTTGGCGATTTGGGGCCCTCTTGGACCGTCTCGGGGGCCTCTTGGGGCACTCTTGGCTTGTTTTGGTATTTTTTGCTGGCCTAGGACCCCACGGGGGGATGCGTATCTGACCCCCTTCCCCCCTCCCCGGGACCGCTCCCTGGGAACTTATTGGGGCTTCCGGGACCGCGCGGGGGTTCGGGACCGCGCGGGGATTGCGCAACGGTTTTGGAATCGCGCAATCTTTCCAGGACCCACCCAGGACCCTCCACCCAGGACCCTCCCCCCCGGAGCAGGGAAGGGATCAAAGGGAAGGGGTTCCCCTTCGATTCCACTCCTATGTTGTTCAATTTTGCTTTGGACGGCGCGTATGAGGAAGAGGGCCCAGGCAACTGGAACAGAGGAGGACGGAGACGACGACCCTAACGGAAAAGCCCGACTCGAACGGAAAAGCCCCTTACACACGCCTATAGGGTCGGCGGGTCTGAATGAAGGTATTCACCCATTCCAGATGATGAGATGTATGGACGAATGTATGTTTGGATTGTTGGATTGGAGCAGGATCTGACGGGTGTATAGATGTGTGCACGTATGCTTGTAGGACAAAGCAGACACGCGCCAGAACCTAAGCGCGCGCGAAGCGCGCGACGACCCCTCAAGCCCCAAGAGGTCCCAAGGCTTCCAGCACTTCCAAGCCGCACACGCACCCTGGCCTTCAGCCTGAGGCCTCCTAAGCGAATTACGGGGTCTCCAGGGCCTTCCCCGGGCCGCTCAAAGCAGCTCCAGGGGGCTTGCAAGGCGGCTCATTACGATCTAAACGGCTCACTACGGAGCACAGAATCAGCGACGTTTCATTAGTTGTTGTATGATCTTCACATATCTGCGCATCCGCTCCTCCTGGCGCCCACGACGGGCCAAGAGGCCCCCAAGCTCGCCCGTTGACGGCCGAAAATAATCCCAGGAGGGCCCACGGAAGGCCCACGCTGGCCCAGGAGGGGCCCAAGGCGGCTCACGCTGGCCCCACGAGGGCCCCCAGAGTGGCTCAAGACGGCCCAAGAGTGCCCCTGGACGGGCGCAAGACGTCCCAAAGGACCCAAGAGGGCCCCGAGACGGCACAAGATGGGCTCAGCGATTCCTGTTCGTTCACATTCAGGAGCTGGTCGCTCGTGTCTTCCCTCCATCCTACCTTCCAGCCTCTCCTTGCTATAGCTTTTTCATTGGTCGGCAGCGGGGAGCCTTCAGCGGGTCACTCGGTATGCCACTCGCGCACGGGCGTGTCAGGCTGCTGGGCCGACTTGCAGGTGAGCTCCGCCTGCAGACGGCATCGCCTCTGCTTGCCAGGACCGTTTTGCCCTCGGACCGATCCAAATCGACCGAAGAGATTTGCAGGTGACGTCCGCCTGTTGTCAGGGCAGCGATTTTGGCTCATTGAAGCTCAGGAGCTTGTCGCTCGTGTCTTCTCTCCATCCTACTTTCCAGACTCTCCTTGCTATTACTTGTGACCGTTCAGCGACGGGGAGTTATGCTTCAGCGGATCACTCGGTGTGCCACTCGCGCACCGGCGTGTCAGGCTGCTGGGCCGACTTGCAGGTGAGCTCCGCCTGCAGACGGCATCGCCTCTGCTGACCAACACCGTTTTGCTTTCGTACCTGCCAGAGTGGGCCGAAGAGAACGTCCGCCTTTTCTCAGGGCAGCGATCTCCGTTCAGTAAAGGTCAGGAGCTGGTCACTCGTGTCCTCTCTCCATCCTACTTTCCAGACTCTCCTTGCAATTACCTTTGATTGTTCTGCGGCGGGAAGTTTTCAGCCGGGCACTCGGTATGCCACTCGCGCACGGGCGTGTTAGACTGCTGGGCCGATTTACAGGTAACCTCCGCCTGCAGACGGCATCGCCTCTGTTGACCAACACCGCTTTGCTTTCGGACCGGCCAAATGGGCGGAGGAGGAGGAGGCGGAGGAGGAGGAGGCGGAGGAGGAGGAGGAGGAGGCAGAGGAGGAGGCCAACGAGATTTTCCAAGCAGACCTCCAAGACAGTAACAGGCATGCAACAAGCTCCCTCCAGAGGCTCTCGAGACGGCCCCAAGACCGTGGTGGCGAAATTTGCCATAAGCAGCAGCGATAGGGGATCACATGCGAACCCTACCCCTACCACCCACGGTTTCTGAGGGGGAGGGTGGGGTTCACTTCGTTCGGGAGCTCCCGAGCGAAGTGAACACCCCCCCCTCAAAAATCGTGGGGGTAGGGGTAGGGCTTGCATGGGGCCCCCCAAGCGAGGAAAGGAGGGCGTTGGAGGCACGGCGGGAGAGATGGTGGATCGAGGGAAGGGAAGGGAATGGAAGGGTTTGAGGGTAAGAGAATGCAGGGTACAGGAGCGGCGATTGGGATTCGACCGCTCTGCATACGTGGGGCAGGCAAGGGGGACAACTGTCGCTTAGTGTTCAAGCGCTGTGTTTTTCATGACGCGCCTCTGGTTCGCCTTCGCCTCTCCGATGCTGCACACTGTAAGATATAGTCACAGCTTGCTGGAACCTGAGCGTGCGCGAAACGCGCGTGGCTCTAGTATATATGTATAGAGAGAGATATGTTACACACAAATATCCCCATATCTGTATACATACCCGTATATCTATATACATACACACACTTTCTATGTATGTCTCTCTTTCTCTCTACACACACAGCCTTTTTCATTCGTTCTGTATCATAGTCGTTTGGTTCTCTCTCTCTCTCTCTCTCTCTTTCCTTCTCTCATTTACCTCTCTTTCTCTCTCCCTATATATATGTATGTATATGTATATCTGTATATATATATATATATATCGGAGAGTTGGGGTGAGATCGCAGTGAAACGGAGCCCCCCCTCACCGGGATATCGGTTTCGGATTCACGTTCGTGTCGCGCGTGCGGGCGAGGCGAAGTTGCGTGGGCGGGCGAAAGGAACGAACCCGCCGTGCCCAGGGCGAAGCGGAATCAAACGTTGCTGTCCACCATGTTGGCCAGCAGTGGCCTTGTGGTGTCCCGATGGTGTTCCGTTGGTGTCGCGTGGGTGCCCCGTGCTATGCTATATTCCATGTTATGCGAGCGATAGTGAGATCGATAGTGAGATCCTTTGAGTGAGATCCATTAAGTGAGATCGAAAGTGAGATCGACTGTGAGATCGATATTGAAATTTATCGTTAGATCGATCGTGTGTCCGGTAGTGAGATCGATAGTGAGATCGATAGTGAGATCGATTGAGCGAGGTCGATTGTGAGATCGACAGTGATATCGGTAGGAGGATCATCAGTGACATCGCCAGTGAGATCGATTGAGTGACATCGCTAGTGAGATCGATACTGACATCTACGGTGACATCGATGGTGAGACCGATAGTGAGAGCGATCGTGAGATCGATCGTGAGATCGTTTGTGAGATCGCTCGTGGAATAAATGGCGATGCCGATAGTGGTATCAATAGTGTGATCGACAATGAGATCGGTGATGTCGATAGTGAAATCGAGAGCGGGATCTGTAGTGATATCGATCGTGAGATCGATTGAATCAGATTGACAGTGAGATCGATAATGAAATCGATGGTGATATCGGCATGGAACCCGGAAAACCGGGAACCAATAACTGGAACCCCAGGACCCCCACCGCCCGCCGAAATCGGCCCAGATCCAGCAACCAGGCACTGGGGAACCGGGATTCGGGAACCCGGGTACCTTGCCGCCCACCGAAATCGACCAGGAACTTTCGCCGAATTTTTCAATCTCCGCTAGGACCCCTTCAGTGCAAGCACTGGGAATTTCAGTCACGCAGGTTGAGTGGGTTGACATTCCGACCCCCAGCGGCCTCATCCTCATCTTTGTCCTCCTTGCCATCCTTTCCGGTGCCCTGCCTCCTCGTGCCTCCCCTCCTCGTACTCCTCTTGTCCTCCTTCTCCCTCCCTCGCCCGCTCCCCTTCCTGGACTCCCTCGTCCTCCTTCCCTCCCTCCCTCCGCCGCCCCAGGCCTCCTCGCGCGCGCGCGGCTCAGCGCCGCAGCCCCGGCAGGCACTCCTCAGAGCGGGCTTCTCCGCCCCCGGAGCACGAGGCCGCACGCGGCGTCCGCCCACGCTGCTGCCAATTGTGGCCCACGGGAGCACCGAGGCATACGCCCTGTGGCCGGGGGCGTCGTGCGCGGCGCCGAACTGGAAGGGCGGTGCTGAGAGGGTGGGGGGCGCCGAACTGGAAGGGCGGTGCTGAGAGGGTGGGGGGCGCTGAACTGGAAGGGCGGTGCTAAGCTGGAAGGGCGGCGCCGAACTGGAAGGGCGGCGCCGATCTGGAAGGGCGGTGCCGAGAGGGTGAGGAGCGCGGGCGGTGGCCGCCGTGCCAGGCCGCCTCGCTGGGGTCGAGGGCTGGTGCCGCTGCGGCTGCCCGGCGCGCGTCGCCAGCTGGGGCTTCCGCGGCGAGGGGATCTGCCCAGCTGGGGCTTCCGCGGCAAGGGGATCTGGCCCCAGTGCAGAGGCTGCCGGCCCGCCTGGCCGCAGCCTGCTCCGCAGGCTGCATGAGCCCGCGGGGCGCGACAGTGGAGCGCCCCCTCTGTGGCAGCTGCCGCGGGGGGGCCTACGACCTTGGGGGGCGCAGACAGGCGCCTCCCTCCGCTTTGGGCGCGGGCTCTTCGCAGTGGCCGAGTGGGCCCGCCAGGAACTCGAGGGCGTGCACACAGTCATGGGCGCGGCGCGCGCGCTGCTCAGGCCCTGCTGCGCCGGCCCTTGCGGAACTCGGCAGGGCGCCCTCTGGATCGGGGAGGGGCCGTCCCAGGCGTGGCCCCACGCCGAGGGGTGCGCTGCAGCCTCCCCCTGGCGGCGAGGCCCGCCAGGCGGTGCTTGCCCGAGCGCGCTCGGCAGCCGGCGCCGCGCGTTGTCACTCCCACAGTGGCGCTCTCAGAGCTCGTCCTTGAAGGGCTTCGCGGCGGAGGTCTTGACGTCCCTTTCGTGGATCACACTTGCGTCGTGCGTTGGCGTGGGGTGGAGGGTTGGCGTGAGGCCATGCGAAGCACCCCGCATTCTGCAGATAAGAGCAAAGGCGCGGCGGCGGGCCCAGTGCTCCCAATTGTTGGCCCCACGATTTGTTCCCAAGTGCAGCCTTGCCCCCGAGTGTCGCCCCGATGCACTGCCCCCAAGTATCGCCCTGATGCACTGCCCCCAATGTCGTCCCCGAGCCTTTCAGCCATGTGCGCGCAACAAATGAATGAGACCGTCCAGGCCCCCATCGCTGATCCTCGCGCTCCATCCATCCGCCCTCTTCCCTCCTCGCATCGTCATCCTTCCCTCCCTCCCTCCTTCGCTCCTTGACTTCATCCCCCCCCCCCCCCCGGAGGAGGACCGGTTGAGACAACGGCGGCCCTCCCGCCCAGCCCACATCCGCTCAAAAAGTCGGTCCCTGGATCCCCCCCTGGGTCCCTCATCTCCTTCTCCTCCTCCCCTCCATAATCTCCTCTTCCTTGTCCTCCTCCTTCTCCTCCTACGCCTCATCCTCCTCCTCCTACTCCTCCTCCCTCCTCCTCCTCCCCTCCTCCCCTCCTCCTCTCCTCCTCCTCTCTTCCTCCTCATCCTTTCTTCCTCCTCCTCCTCCTCCTCCTCCTCCGTTTCCTCCGTTTCCTCCTCCTCCCCCTCCTCCTCCTCCTCCTCCTCCTCCTCTTCCTCCTCCTGCTCCTGCTCCTCCTCCCGCTGCTGTAATTAGGCGGGCCCCGACGTGGCGACTAGGAGCCTCTGAGTGGCCCTCTTCCGATCTCCCCCCTGACATCCGCCGATGCAGTCGGACCGAGGTGTCACCGGGTGCCCTCGTGTTCTTCGTGCTTGTTGGATGCCTCTCGTGGAATCTCGAGTAGGAGGAGGTGGTGGTGGTGGTGGTGGAGGAGGAGGAGGAGGAGGAAGAGGAGGAGCAGTCCTCTCGCCACAGGGCCTCCGAGCCGCTGCCGAGGCGAGACTTCGCAGGAACGATCTCGGAGGCCCCTCGGTACCCTCGAATGCTCTGCAGTTTGGTCGGCGGAGGGTCTCATGTTCTTGAGGGATGCTCTGCCGTCCTAGGTCCGGCTGTATTGGCTTTTCAGTCCACTGCCCCGGAGGTTCCGACCGCTTTCCTGGGGGCAGTTTTTCGCACCGGGTCCATGTTTGATGGCCCCAGGGCCCGAAGAGGGCCCCCGAGGGCCGGAATCAAAGAACACGCCAGTCAGGAAAAATCAGATTGGCAGACATCTGGTCTCTTTGACCTGACCCCCCCCCCTCCTTCACAATTACTCAATGTGAATACTACTATCCCTCTTCCCCTGATGACGTCTTTTGCGTATTCGCCCCCCCCCCCGCGGACTAGTTTTTACACACACACACACGAATTCCCGGTAGTTGGGTTTTCGCCTGCGTTTGTTTCAAAATGCTGCTCTCGCTGAGGCGCTGGCCTCATTTCTGCTCCCGGATCGTTCCGAATCGTGCTCCCGCTGCAGCGTGGGCCTCATTTTCGGATCGGTGTTTTGCCTCCGTCGTTCAGGATGGCGTTCTCGCCCCAGCGCGGGCCTCTTTCTCGCGTGCCCATCCGCCCGCCACCACCGCGCCGCACCACGCCCCGCCCCGCCGCACGCACACCCACCGCCACTTCCACCCACCAACGCACGCACGCACGCACGCGCACCACCACCGCGCACCGCCACCACCACCGCACTACCCCACCCACCACCACGCTACACCGCGTCACACCACATCACACGCGCGCACACACAGACACACACGCACGCACGCACGCACGCACGCACGCACGCACGCACGCACGCACGCACGCACGCACGCACGCACGCACACACAC